TATATATATATATATATATATATATATATATATATAATGTTGCAATTTGGTCAATCACACTACACACTATTTGACGCAATTCGGTCAATCACACTATATTATACCTGCTCATAGAAATGATTTTCAATCAAAAGTGTAATGACATTATCATCATGAATGTAAACGGCACAATCAATGTATTGGCTATATTTCATGACCTAATCTTTCATCTCCAAAACTGCTATCAGTAGGTTCTTTTTCAAGAGCCTTCGCAAATGCATCTTCTACCCTTGCTTTATCGTTCTGTAATTACTGACAACATAATTAGCTTAAAATTACAAATTATAGAAATCAGTTAAGAAAGATAAAAAAGAGAAATAAATCCCATTTTTGCCTTATCCATATACTAACTACCGATTTTAAAAACATCCATAAACTTGACACAATTTCGAGCAAAAAGAATCATTTTCAAAAATTTTCAAAATTTACATTTCTTTCTGTAGCACTTTAAGCGCCAACGTGATTTAGTCTTCATCATTATAAATGTGAAATGAGGAAGAAAAAACTTCTCAAGACCAATAAAACTAGTACATTACCTCTGCAATTAAACCATGATGCACTAGCTCCGATGCTAAGACGCTTGCTGTATCGCTGTCAGTTATCCTTGCTGTTAATTGCCGGTTCATCATGTCGTCTAACTGAACAATTAACGTTATTGTCGAACCTACAATTAACATTAAAGGTAAAGCACTAATGATAATCATATCCCAAACATATTTTGATCAATGCAATAGTTTTCTAAACATGAAAGTACTTAATGAACCCTCATATATTATGTATATAGAGCAGCAATATTGAAGTTCTTGATTCGAAATCACCGTTCAGAGTAACTGTAGACTTAATGATTGAACGGTTTTCTTTGTATTCTAAAGGTGAGTCTGCTGAAGGTGTCGATTCTGACTTATTTCCATTTAATCTACGATCGTCTGAAAAAATGCTTAGCAAAGAGAGATAATTGTCTGAACACAAAAGCAGAAGAAATATTGAGACTACAAAAATTTTTGAACTTTTAATGATCTGAAAAAAGGCAGTCAAAATACCGTGCTGTTTCTCACCAGCCATAGCTGACGAGGAAGTTGAAGCTGTCATTCCTTGATGGTAGGAAACAGGAAATGTTACAAGAGGATATACTCCAGTATTCACATCCTCTAAAAACTTTTCTAGATCCACCTGGAAAAAAAATCATTCGGTTATGTAAAAATCAGCACAAAATATTTGGGCAATACAAAATGTAGAAACGACCAAAATACAGCAGCTTAAATTTCAAAATGTTCAAAAGCAAATTAAGACTTATTTCTCCGTTTGCAAAATTTCACACCCATCATAACACTGCAAAACGCAACATTTTACAATTTTTAAGATCGTCTACATAGTTGATACCATCGTAAAAGATGACATGTAAAATGATCTAAAAAAAGTCTTTTACAATACCTGGAAATTTGGAACTTGACTATATGTCATAGAACGAAATTTGGATGTCGCAGCAACTCGATTCACATCTTTCACATGCAGACAATCTTCACTTAAACTGTCATTTAATTTCAATAAGACAATACAGTGAGCAGCTAACAGTTTCAGAGAATATGCCTTTAAAAGAAATGAATTAGAATACTACAATAGCTCGTAAGTAATTAGCTTGATAAAGAACATCCAGACTAGTTAACTTGAAAAAGTGAAAATTTAATTATGCGCAAAGAAATTTTTTTCTACAGCTGCAGAAGTCAATCATGAAAAGGAAAATCTGACGACCACCTCATGCAAAATACTATGGAATAACAGTTCACGAGCAGTGGGCCTCTTTGTTGGATCCGAGTTCAAACACTTCTCGATAAAGTCCTAAAACCACCATGAATAAAGAAAGTATAGTGGAAGAAGTTAAAATTGAATGGAAAAAACAGTCATAGTTGGGAAGTGATAAAAAATATGAGAGAAAATGAAAATATTTTCACCCAAGTTATTACTTTTTGCAGAGGATCTTCCAAGGATTTTAATCCTCTCTGAATCATATCCTGCGAAACGACACTTGTTTCAGTACCATTAGAAGAGCCACAAAGACCTGTTGGTAAAGCCATCTGAAAAAAAACAATGAAAAATAGTAAATACCTAGTAAAACAGGTAACTGGGAGGACAAATTAGGACTCGAAGTACACAAGTCAGTCTCCGACCGCAGCCTTTTCCCGAAAACTTACGCTGCCCCATACTTAAACTCATATTCGAGATTAAACTTGCCTCTAGCGCACATATTCCAAAGGAATAGATGTCAGCTGGCGGAGCTACAGCATTACAATCTGGAATCAAACTATTAAAAATCAAAAAATTAAAAGTAATCAAAACTGCAAACGGTCCTTTTAGTAGAGGAAATGGTATCCAAATCTGAAAAAGATAAATTTATTCCATAAACCCCAAAACACGAAATTATAATATGAGACCCACACTTTCATAACAAGGCAAGAACGAAAATTGCAATCTTGATTACAATTTCCCTAGAAATATTGTCAGTTTTGAACGAAACTAAAAGCTTACGTTCGTATTCCGGTGCAATATAGTGCATATTTCTGATGTTCTCTTGAAACGTTTTTACGTGATGCTGAATTGCAGTTGGAGCGACTAAAAATATGTAACTAATGAACTGAAAACTGTTTCAAATATCATCAATACACGACTTACTTCATTTTTATCACATTTATGGATTCTTTTCAAAACTTGCAAGCAGAATAAACAAACACTGAGCCCAAATATAGTAATATAGTGCATATTTATGATGTTCTCTTGATCAAATCAGTGATGTACTTTGTTTTGCACCCACATACATACTTTTTAATTTCATTACACACATGCAAGTTTAGATATTTATAAATGTAAGTATATTTATGCAACGAAGTACAAAATAAAGCTTAAAAAGAGCTTGATTCTCTCACCACAACCAATTTTGACCAGGCCGTTGTGCTGAATAAAGGTCGTGTTGCAAGACAGATTGCCATGAACAATGGGAGGATTGCATGAATGCAAATAACTCAATGCAGCAAGAATTTGTGTGGTCCATTTCTTCCACGCCTAAACAAACTGATTACAAAACACAAGATCAAGATACAAGTATTCAAGACAATTCCAGACGATGTCAGGACTTGGAAGCACGACAACCAGTACTAAAATAATCACTAATTAATTTTCTTTGCTCTTATATAAGTGATTCCGAATGATTTCAAAGATTAGAAGCGAAAATTAACCTTTAGATTCAATGTGGCACCTGATTTTCTGGTTCGTTGTAGAAACCGTGCTAATGAACCAGAAGACATATACTCAGTTATAAAAACTATCTAAAATAATACGGTTAGCATATAATGCTCTATACTGAAAAAATATCAAATTTATGAAATCGGAAATTCCCTTTTAATCAGTAATAATGATGATAACAATAATACTGTAATGACGAAATATAATTTGAAAATCAAATTTCTATTCAGTTTATATTCAATGCTAAAAATGAAGCCTCTATATTTTGTCTGACCCATTAAAATAGTGCTTCGTACGACCCACTAAAATAAAAAAAAATTTAAAAAAAACATACGACAAACGAAAGAAACAGTTACACTAACCCTAGGTTTATCAGATTTCGAGTCTGTCCAATACTTATGAAATTTAACAAGATTTGTATGCACAAGAAGAGTCAATTTGTCAAAAACCGCATTGATCTGTTCTTCCTGAGAACGAAAATTCTTGCGTTCTGAGAACAAAACTTCGTTCCAGACCACTTCATTCCCTGTTTCATTGTCCATTGCCAAATAAGCACAATCGATACCAGGAACATCACGTTGCTTCACTTGCTCACGCCGTTTACTCCATCTTTTGCATGGACTTTCTTCCAGAATCTATAAATGAGTTGAATTAAATTGAAATTAAGCAGAACCGTGGCATTATACTAAGTGAAAAAAGTGGAATATACTCTCTTTGTAAACGACGAAATATAAGTCTGAGAATTTGACAACAGATATAATATGAAACATTTCCAACATACAATCAAAATTAAATAATGATCAATATAACTGCTCTTATACATTCATATGCAACTCATTAGTTTAAAACTCAACCAGACTTACATGACAATGTATGACTGTTATATATTTCTATTGCATATTATTATACAGTTATATATTTTAAAATACTGATATTTAACAACTGTATATGTTAAACAAGGAGTATAGTTTACAAAAGTGATTCAACATCTATTTACTTCCAATAATCCATAATCCTTCCAGAAATTAATAAAAAATTTCCTTTAAATTAATGCAAGCAAAAAAAAAAATGACAATGAATAATAGAAGTACAGTTTATAAACCTCTTCTGCTCCTTCCCCTTCGGAATCGCTATCTTTGCTGTTGTTGCCTTTCATATCATCAATTTTTCGTTCCACGAATTCCGTTCCTTGCGAAGCACTGGAGGAACCGACATTAGATGAAAATGTCGAATTCATAACTACGACAGTAGTCGACAAACAGTAGTCACAATTGTATTTGCACAATTTTCCTATATTACTCTTAATTTTTCGAAGGCGATTTGCTCCAGCACCACAGCAAAAAGCTGCTAACACTAATGATGCTGTGCAGCCCTCAGTACAAGAAACTGCTGAGCAGGTTTCAAGACTGTGCCGATCATGCGGCTTCAGCAATAAATAGGAAAGAATCAACCCGAATATCTTAGTGATTGAAACTTTCTGATCATAAATCAATTAGATTGCTGAGAAAAATGCTTTACAGTTCTGAGCTATTGAAGGATCAGTTGCGGGTTAAGGTAACGAAGTTTGTTTGTTCAACATAATAGTTCTTAGTAATCTTTCGTCAACTACTGCCCAATAAAAGCTTTAAGAAAATCTAATAAGTCCAAATGCGTTAAACCTTTTGCTCGATATCTACTTTCCAAATACAATGATAGCTGATGACGCAAATCCTGAAATGTTATTACATTCATTAGTTTTAACGATCTTAATACTTCAAAACACTAATTTACTAGCGAACACTTAAAGAAAGATTATACACGCTCTAATAGATATCATAGAAAACATTACTTCTACTACGAGATAATATAATTAATATAATAATTAAATTGCAGTTTTTGAACTGTTTTTCAAAATATTGAAGCAAAGCAAAAAGAAGAAAAGCTTTCTACTGTTTCAGAAATGAGCCCTCAATCAGTCCTGAAAAAAATAGGAACAACTTCACAATACTGTTCGGTTTTAAAAAAGTAAGAGTGACAAAAATATAACATGTAAACTACATCTTAAAAATTCTGTAATGATGCAATATATTCCGTACGTCCCGGATAACTACGCACCATATGTAAGGTATATCACACAACAAATTAAAATTTGACCTCACTGATATTCAAACCGAATTTAAAAAATAGTGAAGTCAATACATTATAGTAAAATAAAGGATCGAACAAACATTGAGACAGTAACGTTAAATAATTCACATGCACAGACACAAAATAAAAAAGACGAGTAAGAAGAATGAACTGCACTGAATCTATTACATAATCGATCAACCTTGTGGCAAACTAGCTATCATTATGAATAAAAACAAAAGTCCCCGTTTCCTTCACATTTTACAATACGTCATCTTCGCAATGTTACCTTTTCCCTACATACTGCGCAATACTTTTAACACCATGTTTCATCGATGAAGCATAATACTAATAAATAAAAATGTTAAAAATGAATGCTAAATGTCTAGCAATTTACAACATTTTATCAATTATCAGCATATCAGATATATTCTGCCATCGATTTGTTCATTCTGGCCTCAAGCACTGTATCGTCATGAAGACATTTTCTGTGCTCAGTTGCGCTTACTTCATTCAAGTTCATTCAATTTTAACACACCTAGAAAGTTGTAACTCACTAAATTCATTGGGCTATCTGTTGACACGTTTTTGTGGAATAATCTGGTAAATTTCTGACGAATTTGCTACATATTAAATGAAAGGTACAGTCACTTTTCCACCTCACTTATTTCGCGAAAGCACTGAAGCACTACAATAACGTTACACGTAACGGAAATGCTCTCACGTTCATATCGTCAATTTTTGATGATTTTTATTTTGATTACAAGATTGAGATTCACAAACTAAACGTTCATGAAAGAGATATTGGGTTAATTTCTAGTTCTATCTCACAAAGCAGCTAAAAAAATTCTGCAGTCAGGACTATGCTGAGAGCGCTGAACATGCTTTCTGGGTGCAGAATGAGCTACTCCAATGCAAAGTTGCATCTGCAAACTACGATTGCCATATTTAGCCTTTCTCAGTTAAATGAAGTAGATAAGAAACGAGAAAAACTACCCAGACTTGGACAAACATCAAGTAGCCTGCCACACACCAGGATATAATACAAAACATAATAGGATACTAGTAGCATAGCATAGAAGAGTACGGCACAACACGACTGGCGCAAAGCAAATTCGAGAAACAGGGCATTCGTAACAAAGATCACATGACAGAAACGATATTAAAAGAAAGTTTCTTGCAACGAGCAAATTTTACAATGCAAGAAAGCGAGAAGAGTTAGTTCGTTGACCGGTGAAAATATGAAAGCCACTTCACGTAAATCTTTACAACTTCTGTGTAAAATAAGAGACCGAAACTACAACGCTCTTTCTAACCATCTATATCCCATACTTTCTGCATCTTTAAAACTGATCATTCAAATAAACAACAATATACTCGTTAATGCTGAGAAATGCGACTCAGAAGCAGTGTTTAACATGATGTGCAGAGGAAGAAGACTTCAAAATTTTGATCATTTAGCCACTAGTTCAGCAACAAAAGAAACAGAAAGTGGATATTACAACCCTCACTGTCCCAAGCCAAGGAAGAAGTAATGGAGAGATAATTATTAATGAAGCAACAGAATGTAAGATTTATATCGAGAAGCAGGGAAATAAGCTAGGGCTAGTTAGCTCATTGCCATGGCTTTCAGTAGATGCCATTAACAAAATGCTGCATGTCGCTTGCGATGCTACTGCTGCATGGCAGTGGTAATGCAGCGCGAGAATGGTAAAAAGTGCCACTTGCGATCAACTACTATCTGATCAATACCAGTCAATAAATCAGTCAATCAAGCAATTAAGCGACATGACCTAGCCAAGGCACCGATGAATAAAAGCTTAGATAGATGGTTGGAAGGATAGCACGAACAAACAATGCAAAAGGTCAGTCTTTGCACACAATATACACAAGGCTTAGGAAGTGAATGGAAAGCTGCAATGACCTTTGCAATGATCCTGGTTGACCTCTCAATCATTAGCACACCACTGTACACTCAGCATTAAGTACTAACACTAACAATAGCAGTAAAGACATAAGAAGGGGAAACAGAAACAGAAGCGGGAATAGAAACAGAAACAGCAACGGAAACAGTAACAGTAGCAGCCGCACCCCACCTCCCTACACACAGCTGACTATCTACTCATCGACTCCACCCCCAATGTTGCACACTCTAACAATCAACCATAGCGCCCCGCCCACATTGGTCGATACGTGTCTACGGGCAGACAGGTGGCAGGCATGCCTAGTGTCTAGACACTCTCTTCTGCGATCATACAGTGGCAGAAAACCAGTAAGAATTACGTAGAGACACTGCGCCGACATTGCAGCGCTATTACTTTAAGTCAAAACATCCCACTCACAGTTGACTTGATTGGTCATCCGTGTGGCGTGGTAAGCAGAATCTAGCGGTTTTCTTCGATGAATCTTCTTGATCTTAAGCAATGCTTATAATAGCAAAGTATGGACAAGAGCTCGTTATAGCGCTGCTTAATATTGCTTCCATCAATAAAACATCTCAAACTAATGACCCTACATACACTATACATTAACGATGCGCATATATTGCTACTTGCCCTCAGATAATGCAGTCTTTGAAGTTAGTGATTACCACTTTACATGTGCACTGGACTTTACTGCCGTTAACAACTTGATATTCCCGTTAAAGGAATGCTACTCTTACTGATTACGGTAAGCAAACATTCTCATTATTTTATGACACAATTACAGAGAATGCATTTTTCATGCCAATTATAACAAAGCTCAGACGAATATACCTGAACTACTAAATTTTCTCAATCACAGAGAAAGTTGAAATAAATAGCTACTGGCAACTATATGCGTTACTGGTACAAATGTTAGACAAGAGTAATATGCAGTTAACATAGCACAAGTCAAAAAAAAAAGAGCTCTCTTAAACACTCATAATCCATCTTTCTGCACCCGTAAATAATATACAATGAAGGCAGTAAATTCATCAGCACTGCAAAAGTGGATATATTGTTTTAATACAAAACGTACAGGCATTTTGAACGACAAGATCATGAGAAGGATAAATTTTTGCAAGCATAAGGATCCTCCTCTGATCAAGGGAGCGAAATATGCTCGTGGTGTATCCAGTAATAATGAGTACCATCTGAGCTTACTTCAGCTAACTGTTCAGTAAAGTCCGCTCGTTTCTTTGCATTTCGACTGCTTTGTCATTCAGATTCGTATTCCCTAAATAAATTTCACTGCTAAATTCTCTTTGGGGTGCTAGCATTGCTTCTCGAAGCAAGCAAACAGTGCTGAAGCACAATTTACAGCGACATGATAATCTAGAAGATTCTTTGCGACCCATCAAGTGATTTTTGATTAATTCCGCAAAACCATGTGTTAATATTGCAGAAAACCTGGGTGGTGATACTAAATCCACTCCCTAAAAGTCAAAGACTTATAAAAGATCAACGATAATATGATGCAACTTCATATCCAATGAATAATACTTGAATCCTCAATGTTAAAAAATTAATAAGCGTATCAAGATGGATCTTTTTTTTGGTTCTATTCGCAAGCAGCCTTATATCAAAATACAGTTAGTTAAATTACAAAATAATTGATGTTAGAGTTAGTAAAAAATCATCTATTTACTTGGTCTTGTAGAATATTGGGCAATAAACTTTCGGTTTCGAAAGAAGGAATAAAAGACGATATTGGTAAAACTAGAGTACGGTGTCGTCTGTCTCTCCTCAGAAAATATAGCTGAAGCTCAATACTTTCCATAGTCAATGTCGGCCAGCAATTCCAAGGGCTGAACCATGCAATTTTCCATGGGAGAGCTTCATTAATAAACTCAATCAGGCGTTGGCACGTAGCCCATACTTCCCTTGTATAATCCTTAGAGTTATAACCACGCTAAAAATAAGCACTTAATCGAAAAAAGGTACGCTACTGCACAAATAATAAGGAATGACGATAAGAATTTCTCATATTTCTTGCCAATTTTAACAAAGCTCAGACGAATATATTTTAAAATTACTCAATCTGTGCATTTCACCATACTAGTGGCATATTGTTTGCTTTATTAGTCAGTTCTTCAAACCAAATTAAGTCTCTAGTTAATACGATTTTGATTTGACTTCTTCTAGAGTTATCTTCAAAAAAATTGTAACATCTATATTTTACAGAAAAGCAGAAGGAACGTAATAAACAAACCATATGTGGTGCGACAAAAAGCAAACTGTCGTGGTCTTTCAACTGATTCTGTAGCATACTGTACCAAAACTAAATAAATTATGATATATGATAGTGTAGCAAAACATGTTTTTAAATAGTAATCATGCTCTTCAAGTAATGACGTAAAAAATTGTTCTTAATCTCGCCGAACTATGGGACAGCCAATTATTGAACTCTGTACAAAGCCTAATTCTAAAGCCCTGACTACTTTGAACTTTCTAAAATTTTAACGTCTTCCTGCCCATATAATTATTTCGAAACATCAACATACAACATAATAATGGAAAAAAGTTACGAATTAAGCAGCAAAGCAGTGATTCGAATTCAGAAATACTTTAGTAATATACAACTATTTTCCGAAAATTGGACAAAAAAATTAAATATAAATTGTAATTAAATCAGCAATTTAAGACTCACATTAACTGCAACCGGATGATTGCTCCAACGGTCAATAGTACTACAGCGAAAAGATACGTGAGATAGAATTCTCAGTCTATGATCAATCACGCTCAATCCATCTTTTTTCAATGGTATCGTTAGCTCATCAAGGGCTTTTACAGCAACATTCAGCATTGTTCCTGACTGAAAACAAGAATAGTGTGCGTACAGTGGCAACAGAATTAATCGCTCCATACCTTGCCTGAAAACAGGTATAAAACTCCATCTACAGTGCATTTTTCCAAATCAAATTAATTAAATAAAGTTAATCACAAGAAATATATAAGCAAATATTGCAACAGTTTAATATAGAGTATTAAATACTGATATATTACAAATCCGCAAATCACCCATTTTCAGTCAAAATAGAACTCATTTAAGAGTTCTATTTTGACTGAAAATGATACTGCTTTAGAGTAAGGGCGAACAAAATAAACAACCACTCATTTTATTAAACAATAACTTACCGTATTAAATCAGCTATAACTGACGGAATATTAGGTTCTTCATACAGAAATGCGTGAGTACAGAAAAATGGTTGATGCTCCGGAATTAAATTATTTAAACACTCTTGTAATACTTGAGTATACGACCCAATAACACTTGAGATATTCTCACTGTATTTGTAGTCTTCTACACACAAGCCAATCTTCTTTGCCCATGGCCAGTATAGCCGTGTTACAGATCTTGAGATTACAAATGTAACGTACTTTCTCCGAACACTCTCAAGTGTTAGACGAGTTTCTAATTATATTCATGTTCTTCCGTGAAAATACAATTTCTTAAGTTTGGATATAATGAACATTACTGTACCTTAGAAAAGAAAGCATTGTTACAAAAAAATGAAACATTAAATGCTGATGCACTGCCAAACATAAAACTGAGCAGTCACCAATTTTAAAAGAAACATTATAAATCTTCAATTACTGAAAACTTAAAGAAGATAACCAGAACGTACGAAGTAAGCCTGAGAGGTAATTTGTAATAGTGATGAGAGGCTTGAGCTAAATGTTTTGTGGCGTAAAATGGAGTTCTAGGCTGTCCATGATGAAGCATCAATACTGCTGTCTTTGGTGTTTTCCGAGAACGCGCATTGGTATGAACGTTTGCTACCGAAGCAGAGCCCAGGATATATGAACAAAAATTATGCGCTTGTAAATAACCGAAATATTTTACAGAGCATAAACATGGACCTACTGGCCATTTGCACATTGATAACATACTCGGGAATATAAGGAATCGACAAACACTTGTCAGTAAGACTAGTAACTTCTTTAGCACGTTAGTGTTTAATTTACGACTTGTATCTGAGATTGTAACGTTGAAATCCAGTACTGCTCCGAAATGAAATTCATTCGTCCCATGGTTTGTAACAATTCGCCTCTTAATAAAATGTCAAAGAAAACCACAAGTTTTTATCCATTCTTGCAAACTTACAAAGTGCTAACATAGAACGGCAGAGAGAGCAGTTTAAATAAAGCGTATAAGATAACAGTGTGAATGAAATTTTGAGTTTTTTTTTTTAACGATCAGTAAAAGAGTCCATCAGAATGTTTTACGAATTTAATTTGGTTTCTGATGAAATTTTTTAGCTCTGAAAGCAGTGGTCAGCAATACTGGTAATTTAAAGCGCTGGTCAGTAAACTGGTAATTTGACATTTCACTTGAAATTTAATTTTGTAACTGAATATTATTGAGTCATCTGTAGTCAACAGCACCACAAGAAATTCAGACCTAAAAGGTAGTGTGATCAAAGGACGTCGAATGTCATTTTCAGACACCAATTTCTAAAATCTCAAAACTGCCGTAATTTCTGAATCCAAAACAGGAAACAGTATGATTTTTGATTAAAGCTAATAAACTAAGCTATGAAGCTTCGTGGGATGATTCGTCATTGCAACAATCGTCTTTCGACATTAAACTTGTGTAGATAGATTATCAACTTTGTGTACATTAAACAATGACTAATCAACATAAAAAATTAAACGACAAATTAAACTCAGCTGAATCTGAAATAAGGACAAGACAAGTGTTTCTTGAACAAATTAGTACAGTCTAAACCAAATGCTTCGAAGTCATTAGATTTGATTGACAGTGAAAATGTAACAATTCAGTTTGCAGTATTAATTTTGTAAGAAAGTTCATGCTATCAATTGTCGCTTTCCTCAAGTTAAAGATCTTTGCAGAATTGAAAAGATTTTCGTACATGAATTGTTTCCAATAAATTTGCAGCTTAGACTGCAATAAGTAATAATTGTAAATACTTAAAATATCCATTGGTTTATGGAAATAATTTAAAATATGAACAAAACAAAATAATTATACGCTCCCTCTACAACACAAAAATTTGACTTATAAAAAGGCCCTTTTTTTACAAAAACATTCTCGTAATTTTAATTAATGACATGCAATTCCTTCTTGGCTACAACAAAATTGTTCTTGCAAAAATGTTTTAAAACCTAAACCGAGCCTTATCAATCAGGCATTTAATCATTCTTTTATTCGATCATCCGTTCATTCATTCTGTCAGTTAGGGGTCGGCCATATTGTGGGAATGTTTTGTAGTTCCGCACGAAGTATTGTTAATTACGGAGCCAACAGTAGGTAGAAGGTACAGTCTGACATCGCTTTTCTCAACTTTGCGCTTCTTCTTACATCCAATCATTCAGCTAATACTTTTGATAGCAAAAAAAATAAAAAGAAGTTAAGCTTACTTACCTTTACATATGCAAAACACAACTTACAATTTTTTCATATCCCATCAACCATTTTGCCCCTCTCACATAGCGCAAAAACGCACTAAAACTATTAAAAAAATCAGCAACTATATCGAAGCAGTTTCTTTTTTATAAGCACAAATTTAGGTTTTTAGGTAGTAAGTACAGTAGCCTAGCACAACATGGTACTGCTCCATGCTGCTTGTTCATTTTTCAACAGCGATGTGAACTTTTGATAATACTTGAGCAATCAAATTGTTCTCACCTCATGTGACTAATATCATTACCGTTTTATTTACCGCAAGACTTATGGAAATATATTCCTTTCTATCACTGGATCAGTCAAGTAAGCCTAGGACGTATAATAAATAAATGATCATCAATTCAGTAACGACAAAAAAGCAAACAAATCATCAAATACCTATATTGTTCATACGTGTACTGTATTTAGTCCTAACAACAATAATTAACTTTTATTATATAGCAAGTGAATGATTTTTATGAATACAGCAATTACAAATTTAAAATTGCAAGGATTTTGGTTGTAGTAAAGAAATTAGGGATTACCAAGACAAGTATTCCTAAATGAAAACTAGTAAATTGCACTGCAAATTTCAGCAATAGTAATAACTTTTTGTGAAAAAAATGTGGAGTCTTAATTATGTGCTTCTTCAGACAAAGATTTGAAAAAACTGTTGATGAACACCGAAACTTGCAAGACTTTCCTTGAATATGCAGAAAGTTTTGGGTAATAAATGTAAAGAGAATCTCAATTGCAATCTGATTTGCGAAGTGTTTTCAGCGAGAACACATTCTTGAATAACAGATTTTCAGTCACTGAAATAATATATCTAATTTCTTCAGGCTAAAAGTATATTTTAAGAGTACGCACTTTGACAGTAATGATATTTCTCAACAATACAAGGCTTATCAGTGATAAACCCTGATAACTCTTGATAAAACGGATCGATAAAATTGTTACATGAATTGCAGTAGATAGAGTGAAGTCCCTTAATTGATAAGATGTGCGTAATAGGTCATCAAAAATAATCTCTCATAATTTGTTGACATATCGTAAAATGATACTTTGCTTCTTCTTGCATTTAACAATAGTCACATTGCGCAGGCTAAGATTATTCTGTCGAAAACCATTCAATTCTTTGTTTATAAGCAATTGCGTCTAATTCAATGAGTGATTACTATTACGACTATTGTTAATACCTTATCTGTTTGGATTAGCACGTTGATCTAATACGAAACAGAAGTTGACTTGTTAATTCTACTTTTTCTTCACTAAATTTATGTGCAAGTAGGAATGTTTTCTGTTTTGCCTAACGATATAATACATTACAAAACTCAAAATATGAGAGTTTTTTTATGTTTGGGAGGAAAATTTGTAGAGTAGTGAATATGAATTAAGCGGGAGCACTTAGAACTGCTAAACAGACATATTATCTCAGTAGATGGACATCGAATAAAATTCATACGAAGTTTAATTGCATTGTTTTGCGAATTGTTTAGTATTTTTTTCTTTCTGTTGGCAAACACGTAAGTACGTGAGACAGAAACTGTCTTTAAATACCTCTTTAGTTTTGTGTATGCGTGCAATGGGGAAGAAATTATAGAGCATAAGAAATGAGAAAAGATTTTCGCACATCAATCAAATGAATGGTAATAGCAGCACACTCACTGTATTCCTCGGCGGAACACTACTTTGTTTTCCCCTCTTAGTTTTTCAATAAATTACTTACTCGCACATATCAAATCATATCGTATCACGTCCACCGCATTCACTTCATAATTCATTAATCAACGATCAATGAATCATTCTCACGTAACGACAGAATCGATAGCTTATAATACTTGTTAACAATTATACCTTACTTTCATCTACTAAGCCTCAAAAAAGGAAATATAAAATTTGCGTTCATTTTGTGTAAGTACGACAGTATATGACTGTTTCATTTCAATTTCGGGTCATGTAAAGGAAAAAGAATCTAGGAATCGAATGCTAGGATGAGCTCTTAGTTTTGTAAATAATGTGTAGACGATTATTGTAGACACAATGTAAAGCTAAAAACTAAAATTTAGGCAACTGGCAGTAATTAGTATACTTAGTAAATTGCTAGCAAGACAATTTTCACAAGAGTATAAATAGTTTGTTAGTCACATACTAATCATATGCCTCAAACCTCTGTTTAACTGATGAGGACTGACAGTTTCAGCATTACTTTCGTCAGTTATAAATTAGATTTTCCCTCAAACTGTACAGTTTTGGAGATCGGGAAGAGATGATAGTCTGACTTTTATATTTCCCCTCTGCAGACACAAGGCACAGGTCTGAGTAGAGATCAGAGTTCATCGTAAAAAATTTATCTGTAAAGAGGAAAAGTATGCCCACAAATAGAAGAAGAAATCAATGTACGATACTTGTTTGCGCTATATTTTATTAAAGGCTTAGTAATTTTTCATCTCGTTTCTATTTGATTGACTGCAAGCTATTAAAACAATCCTAGTACAGTATCATTTCCTCTCGTATCAAATTTAAAATGCACTCACATCATAAATTTAGCATTCAGCTAACTCACTTCATTCTTACATTCCTATCATTATTGAACAAAGATTTCTCTACTCACACTATCTATTATTATTAAGCAATTCAAGCACAGCTAAAATTGATGATTGTGACATTTCTATCATTAATGCATAAATACCGGAAAAAACTGTCTCTCAATCCGGCACAAATCTCAGTGCTATTGCGCTATATGTTGCGTCATTTTCGACAAAGGTATTTGCTTCACTTACTCTAAGTGATAATCCAGCATTGTGCTCGAGCAACAAACTCCCTGGAACTCTAGGACCTGAGTCCTAATCAAAACATCATTATACATCCAAGCCATTAATTACAAATCATAAATAGCATGCATCTCATATGAATGAAAAATCACGATATTGATATCAAGTCAATCTCTACTTACTGCATCATCCCCAAGCAGAAATCAAGATCTTTCATAATCTCATCGTTACTGCTAGTTAATTCTCTTGCTATCATCACCTCAAAATTAATCTATAATTTAAACTGGATAAAGGGAAACACTGCCACATCCTACACTTTGTGATAAGCAAATATAGTTAGTTATAAATAGTAGTGCACCCTCTCCTTTGCTAGTTTTCGTTGGTTTCAATCCTTCTACATAATTCTAAAGAATTAAAGAGTTACTTCCATGTACTATACCAATCTATCACTGTGTAACTTACCACTAATCAATCGTACTTTGTAGATCATAATAGGGTTTTCCAAAGTTTTATCAATTAGTAAGTACTATAAAGAAAGTACACCAGAACTAATTACAATTTAAAAAACATTCTCCTGACCAAAACAAAAAATGCTGGCTCACAATGATCTAATTAGTCTTTAAGAGCTTTTTTCGAAACTAATATAAAGTTTGAGACCTCTCCGCCTCCCATATCTCTCCATCTATTAAATAAAAAGCAACTCAAAATCCAGCCACGGAAAGTATACATACTCTTGAGAAAGAAAATGGTGTCTTTCTAGGACGTAATGGTTCTTGAATAGTAATTCTAACAAGTCTTAACTGGAAACAACTCAGCCATCACCAAATCTTGTTTACTTTTATCTGCTGTTATATTTGCACAACACCTGAGTGATAAACCTCACAAGATAATCATACTATAGCAAAGAGCTTTCGTTTCATTTTTGTTTTCTCACAAGTTACTACTATCTAAAAAAATGTCCATACTATGACAGTACTATACATGCATTCTTTTTGCAAAAATACTCTATCACAATAATCGTTTTCAAAGAATGAAATGGAAGAAGCAATAATAGTAGTGTGCTTTCTTAAAAGTGATAGTGAATGCAATTGCGCTTAACAATAATGTTGCAAACAAGGCGATTTATCTGTCAAATGGCATCATATTCTCCGTCAAATTGTCAAAAGCTTCATTATGCATTTATTCTAACAAGGACAACCAAAAATGAAGAAAAATCGAGAAGTGCTTACAACGCAATGAAATCAGAAACTGTCATAAATGAATTCAACAGTATTACAAAAACAGCATGTTTTTGTCGATGTTAGTGCATCTCAACCAATTTTGATCCACTTTACAAACAAAACTTGACTGTAATAATAACTAACTACCTGTGACTATAAACTTTTGACATCATACAATTTATGATGGATTTTCCATTCCATTATTTTAAATGCAAAACAAGCATGCACCGGTCCTATTACATAAATAAAGATTGTACAGAAGACTGCTCTTAATACCAACATTATCAAAAAACGAAAGTGAGAGCAAGTAAACGCGTTTCTGAAGAACTCTAACAAAACAACACTTCATGACACAATGATACAAACATACATTCCATTGAAATGTGTTTATAAATGCATATTAAAACTTTACAAGTTAAACTAAATTATACATGGAATTGAAAATGAAAGTGTACATGCAAAGCATTTGACCATCGCATATCATAGTTCACTACAGCATTCTATTATATACAATTTAACAGTCCAATTACAAATACGAAAAACATGTGCGGAAACACTCAATATATAGCTCGCTACTCAGACACTAGCCATCACGGCATACTTAGATTTTTCACTTCTGCTATGACGTGTAAAATACTTACCACATTTTAGAAAAAATACCAGGAACATCGAATCATATATACGATAGAGAAATGAACATTGAACGCAGACATTTGAAAAATTTAGGCATAAATTGGAAGAAAGCGTATGCATATACCAGACTGGTTAAGACAGAAGAAAAAATTACGATAATCAGATTGAAAGAGTAGATGAGATATTTTCAAATGCATTGCAAAGTAGAACAACAAATAAATAATGAATGAAACAGAAAATTTTAAAGTAATGAGAACTGATAGCAAAAACTTGGATAGTTTTATTTGACATGGCTATGAAAATGATATTATAGGCTAGTTTAATTCAATATAAAATGAACTAATTGTTAGTAACCACGCTCTCAACAGTCAAACAAAATGCAAAGATTTGGAAACGGACGACAATGAAACAGAAATAACACGCAAAAGTTTGTTTTGAATATTGCGGAATCTGACGTTAGCTGACGGCGTCACAAATGTACAACTGTTGCAGGTTAGACATATTTTAAATGCTCATGATGAGATAAGTTAAAAATGAGGTCAGAAATAAGTAGTTCATCAACATTTACAAAGATCAGAAGAGTTAATCTTGACAGATACAAAGTAATTCGCAAATTTGCTTACTATTGGCTTACTCAACAGACCATCCAATATTCACTTTCAAGTTAGTTTTATTTTAACTGCCAAAATGAAGATAAGATGTGTTCATTTCATAGTATGAAACTGGTTTCAGTAAGTAGAAGTATCATACAAACTTAGTTCGATCTTAAATGAATTCCATCAATTTAAACCATTTTAAATGCGAACTTCTTTCACTGTCCTTTCCAGCACTAATTATTAACGATTTTTTTAAAGAAAAACACACAGCCATGATTTACATGCCACTGCAATGAGAAGCATCATAATTAACAGGTGCTCGGTTAAAGTGATGACTGGCATGCATCGATGCAGCAGTCCAAAAATCTGCATTGATTGGTGCCGGCCACATATTATTCATGGCAGTCGGAAATTGAAAGTCACTGATCGATGGTAAGAATTCGGTATCTGGATGTGAAAGATTCGAATAATTAGGCGCTCGCTGATTTGGAATAAAAAGCTCAAAAGTATCGCTAAGCGCAGCTGAAGGACGGTAAGATAAGGAACAGACAGATGGATGCATATTAATATTATTAATTACAGGTACTGAGGTAGTGGCTGATTCTGTATCACCGGTGGTTCCAATACTTCCGTGCCCACTGCTAGATCCACTGGACATTGAACGTAACTCATCCTATATTGATATTCATTTTAGAAGGAGGGTAAAAAATCAAAATTGAGTTATCTTTTAATTACAATCGCATGAATGTGAGAGAAGCTGTAAGAAACAACAGCTGAACTCATCTTCTTATGCAAATTACAATGAAGATTGGGATCTAAATAAACTTAAGAAGAATCAATTATCAAGTAAATGGGATAAGTTGACTCGAAATATGGAAATGTCAGTAATGATTACTGGGCCATAAATGCATACTTATTGGTACAAATTGGTTTCAGAATTAAATGAATGCATAAATTGCGTATCTTGCAGAGATAAAGAAGGCAGGAGGAAAAAAATGAATAATACCTCGGTGAATCCATACCTGATCCGCGATAGCTGCGTTCGCGCTTGATACAGCCAAAGGTGAAAGTCCTGTAGATGGCTGCTGATAATATGAAGAGATTTGCTGACGATGCAGCATCGAGGGTGTGCAATTGTTATTTGCGCTGTAAGAAGAAGGATTCCCTTCAGTCACGTGGCTCTGAAATTTATTGCTTACATTCAGATGTTTTAAATTATCAGAAAATTTCTTATTTTCTTTATAAATATAGTGATCAAGGTATTTCATTCAGAAAGTATTTCAAAACTGCACATGGAATTGAAAATATACCATTTTGGTAGAGGGAATTAACAGATGTTGCGACGACACATTAGCTGTAGAACAGGGATAAAGCGGGGTACTAGAATGCTGTTGTACTGAACCGTAAAAATCGTCATAGAAACCACTTTCAGGAGTCATCGGTGTACTCATAAAATCATTTGGTGAAGGGAAGGGTTGTTGAAATAGCCTTTCCTGCAAGTCCAAACAACACTTCAGATGCTAAATTCTAGCTCTTATTTCATCAATCGAAACTGACACAGGATAAATTTTTGTAGGTTGCAACTGCCTTATTTATTCTAATCAATAAAACTTTTTGTGTAGATGAAAGAAATGATACATTAACAAGATTTCCGGGATGATAGCACACACAAAGTTGTAACAATAAATTAATTACTTTAATTAAGCAGCTAAACTGAACCTGTTTTATAACGATGTTTGCTACTGGAGATGGTTTCAAGTCATTGACAATAGAATTCATGTAACGGATACCATCATGTTCAATTTTCATAGATTTACCGGGAAACTGTGGATGCTGAGGGATGATTACATCCTCCTGACAGTTTCCCGACATACTCAACATTCTACAAATAAAATGATGAACGATGAATTCAACTGAGTGAACTAACGAAGATATGAAACTGACAATAATCCTTCATATATTAAAATAATTTTACACTTACCGTTTTTGAGTTTTGACTCGATTGACGCCAAGAGTCGACGTAGTGATGCCATTTTGACGTCCCACTTGGCTTGGCAAATGGCAGGTGTTGGTTAGAGAAACTTGTCCCTCTACACCTTTCTTTATCTTTTTTCGTGGTTTATATTTGTAATCTGGATATTCTTTCATGTGCATCACGCGCAACCGTTCTGCTTCCGCTATATACGGTGCTTTCTCATTATCTGACAATTGACGCCATTGTAAACCCAACTGCAACAACAAATACTCATCAAATAATCAATCAACAATGCGACAATTTTGTCTATGGGTATAGTAGACAAATTATATCAAACCCGCTTGCTAATTTCTGCATTATGCATATCAGGTGAAGTTTCACAAATTTTGCGACGCTCCATTTGTGACCAAACCATAAATGCATTCATTGGGCGTTTGATATGATTGCTTGACTTCTTGCAGTTTGTAGCATCCGTATAAGGTGTTGAACTGTTCTTAGCTACCTGAATTTCTTGATCATCAAAGAGTAGATGTGAGCAATTTATTGAAGACATATTGCGATTTCATTTAAAATAGTTTCGAAAGAAACTCAAATTTTGAACTATTATATTTTACATGGAACTAGAGCAGTTCTGGTGGAAGAAGTGTATACCTCATAAGAGCAAACCTTCAATGAGCCAAAATGTTCAGTGGGATCCCAAGTGCTCGAGGTAGAAGTAACTTCAGAATAATGCTGCTGGGGTTGCTGCATGTCATGATGAAAATGCTGCCCCAACGCGAGTAAATCCATTGCTGACATGTTCTGCAAGTTAACAATTTCAATCACGAAAATTATCGCTTATTCCAAGTATTCAGCAAATCTGTGTCCACAAATGGAATTCAAGGAGAGACGTGAAAATCTATGTTCACCATCTCAGTAAATGATTGATCACACTTGTAAAAATTATGAATACAACCGAACTTCTGATCACATACCAATTAAATTCATGAAAAAGCAAGGACAACAATCAATCATTTTGTAAGCAAGATTTACAATTTGTGAATACCGAATACACAAACACAAACTTAATATTCACTATATGATACATATAATTCAAGTCAATGTGAAATACATACCTGCGTATGATTCATATGATTTTGTGGATTGAGATGCAATTCAGTTTTAATGGGTAAAAATGACATTGCATGTGACGGTTTATCCATGATCAATCCGCCAGATGACATGCTTGCTGGATGAAACAATACTGCTTACGAGCAATATCAAAAAGTAATGGAATCAAATTGTCTTTTCTTTAGTGCTGCAAGCATTATTTAGATTGAGGAGATGAACATTACGTGTAATTATAAAGTCAAAAAAAACGCATCACTCATATACGTGTACGTGCAGTACTCATAAGCAAAAATCTCTGCAATTTTGCATTTACAAATGTGTGAGATAAAAATAATACATAGAAAAATTCAAATTTCTCAGATGAACAATGATTATAACATAAGGCGTTGTATGAAACTGTAAGAATAAAAAAATTTGAAATATTGTCAGACAAAAATTATTAAAGGTTGCAAGTGAATTAAATGATAAGTCAGTTATTGAGAGCAAAGTTTGAGAAAGTGTCAAAAAACTTTAATGTAGTGATATTGTCGTTCATGTATTCAGTAACAAATACCACAATTTTTGTAATGTAGTCTGAATCACAGCGGGTAACCTCTGTAGAGTTCCACTTCTTATATGAAATTATAAAACAAGGCGAAAAAATGACATTTTCCAGATTCGCGCAAAAGGAATAGTTAATTAAGAGAGGATTATTGTAATAAGTAATTAATTTGTGGAGCAAAAAATGCTCGCATATAATTATGGCAATTATTAACTTCAAATGATATGTAAGCATTCATATCTTGAAATCATGGTGAAAGAAAGCAGTTATGCCTTTAAAAAACAAATAAAAAGCTTTATTCTATTAAAAACAAATAAATAAATGGGACAAAACCGATATAACCGAAATAAAATTTTGACAATATTTGTATTTTAAGACAAAAAATTATGACTGAAATGAAATACTCAAAAAGAACTGAACATGAAAAAATGTAAGAAATATAATACAATATCGACATGTATTTGGGTCATTTTCAAATTTTAGATATGCCTTTTCTTCTCTCTTGTTAAAATCTATTAAGCCAATTGATGAACCCTTATGAAGTCGAAACTTGAATAAACGAATTAAGAAAGATCGAAGTTGCATTTAATTACTTTGCAATCAGTTTATAATAACTAATTAGATGCAACATCAGCTACTTGAAGATTCAGCGTTTTCATATTGCACAAATTATGTCACAAAAACAAGATGAACAGTTCATGCAAAAAATACTTAATTATTGCAGAGAAATCCGAGAATATAAAAATAACAGCATGAAGACAAGATTACATGAAAAATAATCCATAAATAAACATAAAAGCTAGCAAACTCCAGAAGCATTAAAATTCAAAAAAATATTTGTGCAGATCAAAACAAATATGCAAGGAAAATCAATATTCGAACAGATAGCAAAAATGACAAATATAGGATTTACTATAGTTAATTCTTACTTACTTGCAGTAATATTTAAGTGACCAGAACTCATACATTGATAACTTCTGAAAACTCTGCAACAGCTTTGCTGATTATTGTCTACTACATTTCAATGAAAAAACAACCACAGATATTTAAATCTGACGATAATCTCGTAAGTTTTATTTTAAAAATGAAGACACTAATATGCAATTGCAATTTTACTTTACTTACATGCCTCATTTGCAAATAAAACCTGTCAAATCACAACTACAAATTCAAAAAAAAAAATCCTTAGAGAACACTGAACACCGAAATTAATTATTTGGGTCATTTTTTGATGAATAATAATATTCGTCGATAACTCTTTTCATTACATACAAGAAATAAAAGATTATTCTTATGAAATGCAAAAGTTGTGAGCAATATAGACCAATTTTTGAAGACAAACTGCTAAGAAAATTCTACATACTCGTAAAAATTAGCACATGTAGTATGATAGTATCATTGAAATCGATGCTAAATTAATACGATAAGAAAATAAGCTAAACAATAAAAAATTGGTACTAATTAATGCAAAATGTTGTAAACGTTTAAGAAAAGCTTTCGGATGAGTTAAGTAAGTAAAGAAGAAGCAATGGTTACTAACAAGTAACAGTGCACAGGTAGATGGATAGGATAAATTATGAGCGTCACACAATAATTTGTGACTGCGCTTGGGACAATCATTCAATTAAAAGTGGTAAGGTAAAAACGAGATTTCTAGGGAGCATAATTGCATGTAAGATGGACATTACTGCTGCTGATGACAAGATGCATACATCGATGAATGATAATTAAGTGGAAAAACAAGATTTTAAAAGAAAAGATGATGGTTAAGGTTGATATCGAGAATCTGCTCATCCTATCGCAAAAAAGCTTTAAATGTTAACTTCACGTACTGCACTAAATTACTGGCTTACTTTCTACGTTGCTGTCACTGCGCAAACTTATAACAGCAGCACAGTCAGCACTTCACCACACAAACCAGTCCAGTAATCAACTAATTAAGCAGGAAATGCTCAATTTCTCATTAAAAATTTGAAAACATTGCTGTCGGCAATTACTACTACTACTTACAATTTGTCAACTCTAGACGAAATTAATCAAAAACTATCATCCCGTGCCAAATACCTAACTAAAAATTCAATGTTCATGACATGTCTAATAATCGATGTCGTCTAACACATTGTTATTATTAAACAGTTATGATTAGTTTTGATATCTTTAAAGCGGCTCTTATATCAAGTTACAATAACAATAAAAAAATGCGTCGGAAAATATAAAAAGGATATATATATACATATATGGGTCACTTATACTTGGTTGTGGGCATTAAATAGAGCAAACAATGTTTGTTACCAAATCTCTTAATGAATATGACAAAATAATTAGTTAGTTTCAAGACCATTAGCCACACTGTGATTAATTTTTCCGAGTTTACTCCATAAGAGATTTAAGGAGTATTTCTAAGAGCAATGATAATAAATGAAATATTATACATTGTACAGAAGACTGCGTACTGATTTTAAATTTTAGTAAACACTTCATAATATTAGACATAAAATAAAGTAATCAAAAGTTCTACTGCCTTACTTCTTTTCCACAAGAATGTGATCGAAAATGATAAATACCTGCAAGGCAACGTAAAATTTTAATTAAGATTATGAATAATTAGCAAACAAATATTTAGGTAACAAATTATCTGATTACTGCATCCAGTCAGAACTTGAATCTCAAGTATAATTTACACTATGTTGATAAGAAGAAAACTGCAATTATTTCGAAATTAATCACTTTAAGGCAGGATTATTCCTTTGCGATAACATGAAAAGACATTTCGAGAATCAAGCCATTTCCAGCATAATTTGCAGCACTAATCCACAAAATTCAAGAATTATAATTGATCGTGTGTGAGCATGACTCACGTACTTCAGACTACAGATCTTGTAATAAAATTTAGAGAATGAAATGAAAAGTAAGCACAAATAGACATTGCTGATTGGGCCGTGATATGCTGCTGTTTCACTTCTTAAATTCCAAGTTGCCATTTTCCAGAAATAAATTTTGCAAAGACTTCTGAAGTCTCACAGCAACAGTTTCAGCCGCTCAGGAACTATCTTCTATTAATATCCCTACCAACTTTTATTTATCTTCCTTGATTATGTGCCAATTAAATTAGGAATGAAGAGATTAAAAAGGTTTTTCAAATTATTAAAAAAAGCAAAGAAATTAGGAAGTAAAAAGGAAGTGGTCAAATTATAAAACCTATTTCACTACCAAATGCACTCACCAGTTCTAATGAACTACAACCCTTTTAGACAGTTTTTAAATGTTATAAGCCTGCCTCATAAAAACAGATCTGTAATTTAAGACAATACTGGAAATGATTACAAATGAATACAAGTTTTTCGAAAAATTACTTCTCCTTAAGATAGTTTGGGGGAACGCGTTTGAACTTAATAGTTAGGACACGATAGAAACAAAAAAGCACCAATTATAGTGAATAAAATAGTTCTGGATTTGATGCATATGTGACGTACTACAGACGCCTTAATTGAAATGAAGACATCAAGAAAAGGATTACTATGTCATGAGCATCACCGTACTGATAAAACAAATCAGCATGATGCTTTTCAGGTAAGAGGAATATGAACTCTATATTTTATATTATGAGCAATTCTTCCAGATACAATGAGTATGAAGAATGAAAGAGTACTTCACAAATAAATGTGAAAAAAATAATCATTTTGCTAGATAATGATTGAAAGAAATGATTTGATTTATAACTACCTTACGAAGAAGTAATTGTTACTGTCATCACTATTAACTACTACTAAAATCACTATCAATGTAGTTATTAAACTGCTATCGGCGATTAAATCTTGGCCAAAATAATCTCATCCGTAATCATATCATAATCACCAACTTGACCGTCGTCATTACCGTCACACTTGTAAGGTGAATAACGCATAATAATCAGACTACTCAATTAAATCTTTCTTCTCTTCATTTTTAAATCGGAAAACAAGTTTTCCATTCCCGCGTAACATCTCTCATCTAATTTCATCGATGAAAAACAATACCATGATAAGAAAAACTACTTTTCTATGCAAAATTAACAATCCCCTCACATGGCACAAACTTATAAAAGTGAAAATGTTGCGAAGAATATAAGCGCAGAATTAACACGAAATGAAGTCCTGAAAAATTTTCATCAAGTGTAAAACTTTAGCTAGAAACAATTTAAATTTGCTGACAATAATATTACACGTGTATAGTTCTGGAAACTAAACAAATTTTTTCAGGAATATTATAATGAGAATTACTACTGGAGGAAAACATTAGTAATACATTAATGAGCATGAAATGAATGAACCTGTCAAAAGCTTAAATAAATAATTATCAATTACTTTAGTTATGTCTAATTAAACGGTAAATTTTCTAATCACAATTATTAATAAATCAATAGATTAACTAATCAGTCAATCAATCAGATTAGAAAAGTTGATGAGGTGTCATGGCACCATCATGTCAGTACCAATTACATACTTCCACGATTACTTTCGGGACTGCGAATGAGGTTCGACTGGATCTCACCAGGGGGTGCCATCTCCTGCAGCAATACATCAGCGTCCCACT